AGTGGGCGATCTTCCTCAGACAATTCCAGATTGAAATCAAGCCAAGGCCATCCATCAAGGGGCAAGCCTTGGCCAATTTTGTCACCGAATGCACGGCAAGGGAGACGACCGCTACCACACCCGGGCCAGATCCAGATGAAGCATGGACTCTCTTCACTGACGGTTCATCGGCCGCCAAAGCATGTGGGGGCGGCGTCGTCCTCATCTCCCCTGAAGGATTCAGAGCCTATGATACCATCCACTTCAACTTCAGGGTATCCAACAATGAAGCCGAGTACGAGGCCCTCCTCAGCAGCCTCAGACTCACCGCCGGCCTCAAAGCGCGACACATCAGAATCAGGTGCGACTCCAAACTGGTGGTGGGCCAGATCGAGGGCTCATACGAGGCCAAAGAAGGGAGGATGAGGCAATACAAATAGGCGGCCGAGGAGTTGCTCAAGGCATTCGAAACCCATGAGATCACACATATCCCAAGGGCGGAGAATGCTGAGGCCGACATCCTCTCTAAACTCAGCACAGACACTCCAGAGCACATCTCCAAGATAGCCAAGGTCGAGGAGCTAGGCATGTCCAGCATCCATGCCAGCCCGGTCATGTGCATCCAGCATCGGCCGAAGGACTGGATCACTGACATCATAACCTTCATCACTTCAGGAGAGCTGCCCCAGGACGAGGAGAGGGCCAAGCTGGCAAAACTCAGGGCCCCAAGCTACACCATCGAGGATGGAAAGCTCTACAAAAGATCTTACAATGGCACTCTCCTCTGATGCCTACACCTAGACGAGGCCGAAGTGGCCATGGAGGAAGTCCACTGCGGTGTCTGCTCCTCACATCAAGGCCCTTTTAGCATGTCCCGGTGTCTCATCGTCCCGGGCTATTTCTGGCCGACGATGGCGCGGGATTGTGCCAATCTTGCAGGGAAGTGTACTGCATGCCAGGTCCTTCAGAAGGCCCCTGGTCGGCCAACCGTCAACTACGCCCCGGTCAGCACCGCAATCCCATTCTCAATATGGGGGATCGACCTGGTCGGTCCCTTACCCAGAGCCGCTGGCAACAACCGCTACATCATCGTCGTTGTGGACTACTTCACCAAGTGGGTCAAGGCAAAACTTTGTCCAGCATCATAGGGGCCAGATGCCAGAGGTTCGTCCACAAGAACATCCTTACCCGCTTCGGCGTCCCCCAGGAGATAATATCCGACAACGGCACCCAGTTCGAGGCCGAACCCTTCCAAGAGCTCCTCCAGGAACGGGGAATCAAGCACCGTTTCTTCTCCGGATTGCTTCTTCTGGGAGTCTTGGCCAGCGGGGGGAGGCTGCGAGACGACAGTGGAAGGAGGTTGGGAAGCCAAATCCACCAAGGCAGCAGCACTGGAGCCCCCAACGTCCTCAGCTGGAACAGTCAGAATCCCGGCGTCGGCCTCGAGAGGGGAGGAAGTCTTCTTCGACTTCATGGAAGGCTGCATACCAGCCTCGGTCAGTTTTTTCTGACCGTCTTCCACCGGTCGCTTCTTCTTCGGCTGGGTGGGCAGTTTCTTCAGCACGTCCGAGCTCGGCTGTGCTCCAGCCGCAGCGGCCACCTTTGCGGCCTCCTTGGCAGCCATCTCCGCCTTCTCCTTCGCCTTAGCTAGGGCCATAACGGATCTGCGGTCCATCACAAAATCTGCATAAAAAACAGTTAGCAAAGAGAGGAAACAAAAAGAAGAGAAGGACGCCGAGGAGAGCATTGCCATCAGCTTCGGCGAGCACGCCCTAATCCGGGCCATCGGCCTCCTCAAAACTGGTGGTCATCCTCGGCCATATCTCGGTATCGCTCTCCTTATCCCCGTACACAAAGTACCTCATAAAGCCAATGAAGGTCATTTTATACTCCGTGATATAGTCCTTCACACTCCTCGGCCCTCCCTTCAAGAATGCCATCACCTCGGCATCTAAAATGCTACTCTTCAACACATCATGGAGGTTAAATCTCCCGTTATGGCCGACGGAGGGAAATTCGGTGCCACCCTCGCCCAAGGACACAAAAACAAACTTACTCTTCCAACCATCAATGGACGAAGGAAGATCGGTGAAGGACCTCCTTTTCTTTATCTGCTGGAGGACGGCGTAACAGGCACAATTCTTGTGGCTCCCTCGGCCTATCTGGTACAAATTCATAAACAGAGCTATTGTCGGCCTAAAGTCTAGCTCATCACAGTGAAGGAGGAAGCCGACGATAAGTGAATAGCTGTTCAGGGTCAGCAAGGCTAGAGGAAGACCCACTATATCCAGGTACTCCGTGATGAATGGATGAAGCGGGAACCGAAGTCCTTTAGCAAAACTCATCGGGTATACCCCAAAATACCCGGTCGGAGGTTGAAGCACATGACCCGTCGGCCTGGGCGCCCTAACCCTTCCATACGGCCCCACAAACATCTGGGCCACCAAGTAATCAGCCGCGCTACTCTCCGGCTTGATAAGGTAGATGTTCGTGAGGTCCAGGTAGGAGAAACCTGGACCCTTCTTCGACCGACGCCTTCTCGTCGGGGCAGTCCCCTTAACGGCAGAAACCAGCTTTGGGCAGGGAATTGTGGCTGAAGTATACGCTCCATCCATGGCGCGGGAAACCCTTACGTCCTCACCCTCAGACGACGAGGCGACCTCTTCGTCTTCACTCTCACTGTCCTCCTGCTCCCCTGACTTGAAGGAGTTTAGGTCCTCTATCTCCTCACAGCACTCCTCCACCACCCGGTAGTCAAGAGATATGACGGAGGCCTCGTCATCATAGGGAGCTACTTTGGATCTAAGGGTGATTTTCCACTAACACTAGATCAAGACCCTAGGGAAGCAAAGTATATAGAAGGAGGAGAAAAGTGTGATGAACTGACCTTTGAATGTTTGAAGTTTTGAAGAACACTCGAACAAGCTCTCTCTCTCTCTCTCGCTCTCTCTCTCTCTAGAATTGGACAGGACTTTGTTATCTCGGAAAGCAATAGGGAGTCCCTTCAGTTGGAGGGGGGTATTTATAGACCTCCCCACCAACGGTCACTACACGTGGCACTCCCCCGTTGGCCACATGAACGGCCACCACCAAGGCCCATTGGGCTGCCACCGGTTTAGAAGTTGGGCCAGGCCCACCCCATCGGTACCAATCCATTGCCAACACCAACAATCAGCATCCATAACATCCAGGGCTTTCAACGGCCACACCGAGAAGAAATCTGCCTCCACAGGGCACGACTACATCGGCCTTAGCAGCCGATAGTCATTTCGGCGTCTAGTCACACCACATAGTGTGCACATATCGGCTTAACAAATTACCAACAACAGGGCCCCTTCAACGGCCACAATAGAAAAGCAAAAAAAAAACAACAGCCATCGGCCTTGTATAAAACCCTGATGATAACTTCTTGAAAGCGACCTGCGTCCAAGGGTTCTCCCACAGGGTTACCTTGGCTAGGAATCGCCAAGGGGTTGGATTCAGGGGAATACAAGGATCCCGCTTCGGCTTAGGATTACACCTTACTCCTTCACCCCTCGCTCACTTCGGCTTGAAGCAGTGGGGGACTGGAGGACTGCATCGGCCTCCAAAATACAAGCAAGGACAAAGTTGAAAAATCCAAAAATACACGAAGTCCACAACCACAACATTAGATCATATACGCATCATGACGTCCATGACCTCGTGGCGCACCTCCGGCCGCAACAAAAACAGCAAACGACGAACTCCTCCCCAGACGTGGCGCGTATCGTCTCTAAACGCGCGCCACTCAACGGCTTTGAGATCACATACTCCGCTCTCGGCCAGGAAATTAAAACAGGAACCCAACGTCCTCAGGTCACTATCGTCCATGAGATCAGGATACGCACTACTCCTTCCGGATCAGTAACGCTATCGTCCTCAAAAGGGGCACTAAAACTATGTATGCCACCGCTTCGGCTTGTGGCCCAAAGGAAATCATTTGGTCTCCTCGGCCTAGACACCAAAAGCAACTACCACCAACCAGAAAGAAGAAACATCGCCCGCATCAGACCACGAGCTCATATCGGCCACTGAGGCAGGGCACTCATCATCCTCAAATAAACTTACCCCATCAAAGGAACATCAGCCCTCTTCGTCCACAGTGAAGGCCATACAACGGCCAGAACGAAGAGCGCCCATAACGGCCAAAAACAAAGAATCAGAGCAAAGGGCGCCCATAACGGCCGAAACAGGTGAAAACCCATAGCGGTCCAACAACGGCCAGAAAACGTCAAAACCATGGAATCTACTCTCCCTCGCTTCGTCTACATCTCAGCTCAGAGAGTGGGGGACTCCTGATGGAGTATATGGGTCTGGACCCCAGGACCCACATACTCAGAAGAATGAGAGGCACAACTGTCACCCAGTGGGGCCTCCGTCGGCCAGATGGCCCCCCATCGGCCAGAAAGATATCAACTCGGAATATGGTCCGGAAGCCAGGAGAACCGGGTGCCCCTGTCGGCCGGGGCTCCGTCGGCCATGGCCGCGTCGGCCATGGCTCCATCGGCCACAGAAGGCTCCCAGAACCGGATTTCGAGCTTAGTTGTTTCTACATATCTTGTACTCATCCCATAGTGGCCCAATTGTAAATGGGCCTCCCGAGCCCAAGACTTGGGAGCCCATCCCTAATTTCCTTTATAAATACTCCCCTTAGGGTTAGTTGTAGGGGTTCACAAATCATTAATATCATCATTTATAGCACTTCTCTCTATCTAACTCTCACTTCTCTCTAGGAGTTAATACTCCATCATTAACTAGTTCCTACATTGTTGTAGTTAACTAGTTCTTACATTTTTGTTAATTATTTGCTACTTTTTGTATAATTAAGTAATTGTTATACATTAATATACATATTTATTTATTTACTTATATAATATATATAATTCAATATATATATATATATATATATATATATATATATATATATATATATATATATATATATATATATATATATATAGAAAAGATCCTCTGAGAAGGCCATCTTAAACTGAAAAATGAGAAGATTTATGGACCGTACGATCAGGGTTTCTGGACGGTCGATTAGCTCAAACTTTCGTTCATCATTAATGGAAAACTTTTAAATTAGACAAACTTTATACTTCTTCCTGATTTATACATCTGACAATTCACGATGCCCCTCCTAATCTTTATCTCCATCTTCCTCTTCAACGATGATTTCTCGCACATCGGAATGGCTATCGCTAGGAAGTTGCGTGAATGTTGTAGATGGATTTCACTGAATGCGCCGGTCGTTAACAACCATCGAGGAGCTCTAACAACAATGAAGATCGACGATGGAAAGAGAAGTTTACTCTTTAAATTCTTTCAATTACTTCGTGTTCGAGTTGATAAAAACATCAACTCTAGTCCATTCTTTATTCAGAGTGTCTTAAATGAAATAGTCATTTGTAGAAGGAATGAATTTAAGTTACATCTACCAAGTGTTTGCTAAAATGTTTCAATTATAAATAGTATCAGTAAACTTTATTTGCGAAGAGTGGTGTCTACTTAAAATTATGCAATATTTCATAATGGATGGTTATGGTATTCGTTAATTCCACATTTTCACTAATGTATACTATCGTATGATTTATGGGTTTGACAGTACTTTAACAAATATGGATAGCAGGGCTCTGAATTCAACCTTGTGTATGTACTGTATTGAATACGACCTTTCTTTTGTAAATTCTTGTATTTTTTATTTATGTTAACGACTTCAGAGTGTATACACTTGTAATAAACATGTATCAATTCCTCTTCACATCACGCCCTGAATTTCTGTATCACACGCAAACAACTTTATGTGAAGATTAGTAATTTGTGTTTTATTGGGTTGTCTTTGAGCCAATATAGTTAGGTTGTAATAAAGCGGTGATTTGATTTTGAACTAATTTATAGGATTGTAGAGAGGATAGAATTGAGATATTTCTTCTAGGCCCCTTGTAGAGAAGAAGAAGTTGGGATACAAACTTGTACAAATGAAAGTTTCTGTTGTTAATAGTTAAGTTTTTCATGTTACAAGTTATGTTAATTCTCTTACAAGTTATTGTTAATTACACTCTCGGATTGGAAGACTGAGAATGAAATTTAGTGTTTATTATGGAAAATCTTGAAAAAGCATGACAATGGTGAGGTTAAGGCAATTTGTTATTGACACTGATTGTCCAAGGTTTGAACTTTTTATGAATAGTTTTATATTATTTGTTACAAGTTATATTAATTCGTATATAAGTTACTCCATACTATTTACTAAAGCGTTTGGGATTGAAAAGAAAGATGAGCTTTCTGCTTACAAATGCAATTCAGTTTATTTGTTGATGCATGTCATTTAACAGATTTTTTATGAGTGTCATGTTTCGTAATCACATGTTCTTATGAACCAGAATTTTATTATGTTCTAACAAACAACTCAAATAAGAAGAGGCCAAATTTTGATCTTTCAATTTTGTAATATATAAGAGGATTAAGAGCATGCTTGAATGTCTTTATCTTTCATTCTACTTTTCTCAGGGTGGTAACAAACCTATGAAGTTCTCACAACACTCTTGAATCAAAACTATCAATATCTATGTTCAATTCATATTCAGGATGAGAAAGGTTGAGTTCTTCTTCTTGCCCTGAGCTTATTGAGTTTGTATCAAAAGGTGAACTTTTGGGAAGCTGTGTTGATTATGTTTATGCTTCAAATTGCATGTCATGTTGAAGTTAGTTTTGGTTATGAAATAGGTATTTAAATGGTAATAAGAAATGCATGTCAAGGCTATTAGCTCAAATGGTAGAGCAATGTGAAACTGTGCACAATGGTGTGGGTTCGAATCCCACATAGCTTAAGAAATCTGAACTTCATATTTGCTACATTCAGCTCATGTTAACCCCCCAAGTACTTCTAGCCTAAAGTGAATTGGAATATGTAATTTCTGCCACTACCGAATCAAGCAGAGACTTCTATTGACTGGTACCCCAATTCAAAACAGCTTACAGGAATTATTCTCGCTTCTTATGGTCAGCTTGGCAGAAATTAAACTATCACCAAGTTACAAATGAAGGGAGGGTAGGAGTGAGTAGGACTGGGTACTGGTAAGTTTACTGCTTTTAGAATTGTTTGTATGTGCGCGCGCTTATATTCCAACATATGAATAGGTTTTAACTCTTTAGGTTTTAAATATGTTCGTGGGCTTTGGAAGTTTTGATGCAGTATATGCCTGACCATCACTCGGATTGGAGTTTTTTGTGGAAAAATTTGGTCAACTGAAAATGTGACATTAAAAATATATTTCATTAATAATGAATTTTATGGTCATTAACAGCAGGCTTTTCTGCAAACTCTTGCCTAGCGGGGACGCCAATGTGCATCCGGCTGCCTTTTTTTATAACAGTAGGGTTTTCTGTGATCGAGCAAAACCATAATTACATAACCTCAATTCAACCGACAAACCGAACAACTGATGTCTTATACAAAATGATAACCATAGACTTAAACGGTTTTTGGTCAGTTCGGTCTTCAGTTTTGTCAGTTTACTTGTTTATTTGCTCACACCTACAACCCTACCTCTTGCTCGGCTGCACCTCTACTAAGTTTTCGGTAAAAAATTATGTACTCTGAACTTCTGAAGACATTTATGGAAGGAAAATAAGATATTTTTTTAAATGTTGCATACATGATTTTGGATTTGTGTTATCATCTTGGGGTGAGAACTGAGCTGCTGAACCATGTCAATGACTCAATGCTGACACTGATTTTATAACAAAAATAGAAATATAAAAACCTGAAGGCCTTTATGAAAAAGAATCAGATAGTTTCTTAGAATAAATGCGTACATGACTCATGTCAATGTCTCAATGCAGTCCACCTACTTATTTTTTTGCAACAGAAAAGAACTTCACCTACTCAATGTTCAAATTACTCAATGAATTTCATATTCGCCATTAAATGTATCTCCCTTTGCAATGAACTGTCATTTTCAAATATTTTAGATCCCACAAAGAAAAAGGGAAGCACTTTCCTGTTATCATAAGCTACAAAGTACAAAGTACAACTTGTCTGATATTCAAATATGCAGGAACTGGAAAATCCAAAGCTTGCAGAACTTGTCTATGCAACTCAGGAAATGTTGCAATCACCATTACATTTTTGTGGATCAGCATAATATGTGAAGAGAGGAGATCGTGAGAGCATCTGGGAAAATGGAACTTCTTGACCGTTTACTTCCCAAACTCCGTAGAGCTGGGACATAGGGTCCTCCTTTTCTCACAGATGACCCGTCTCATGAACATTCTTGAAGTCTATTTGGAACACAACAAATATAAGTATCTTAGACTTGATGGTACAACAAAAACAGAAGAAAGAGGTTCTTTGGTGAGACAATTCAATGCCCCAGATTCCCCTTACCTCATGTTTCTCCTTAGTGCTCGTGCTGTGGACTTGGCCTGAATCTATATGAAATTAAAGTTGGGAAAAGATTAAATCATCAATCCACTTGTTGAGATAGTCTATGTGGGATTCGAACTCACATCTTTCGTGCGGTCACACGATGCTCTTCCAATTGAGCTAATAGGCTGCAAGATAACTATGCAATTTTTTGTCTTAAAAAGTTATCACATTATGTTTAAAAGTTGACTAGTTTGGTCTATTGGTCATTTTAGTTATCATAGCTCTAAATTTGCTAAAACTAATAACTAGTTGATTTTGATATATAACATGTCATTTAAAAAACCATAACTAGTATGATAAAAGGTATAGTTTGATTCAAGTTGCTACAACTTTTAAGATAAATTAGATAGCAAGAACTTCTTATACAAATTCGGACTCTAGAGAATACTTCATAATATGTGCATGTGTTATAACTTCAAATTCTTCAATTCACAAACATGCCTCCAAAAGTATATTAGGCACATACTAAGATAGAATTACAATGTTGACCATCATTATTTGGATCACTCATCTTCCCTCACTGTCTCATAAATATATCTTTTAATAAAATATTCATAACTTTTAACATAAGTAGCTGCACTTCCAGTCTTCCACCCATAACTGTTAACCCTTACCAATAATTGTCAATATAGAGAATATTGAAACGGCAAATGCATCAACTCACACTTTCTCAATGTTACTAATAAATAAAGAAATTTCTTCATGTTGTTCCAAAAAAGCGTAATAAAATAAATAATTATTTTATGGTAAGTGTTTACAATCTAAAATTCTAATGAGAGAGGTTTAACAAAATATTACTTTTACTCAAATCATTATAACTTGTAAATAAAAAAACCTAACTTTCAAACTTAAAGACTTAACTTTTACCAAAACTCCCAGGAGCTCTAAAGGGATAACTTTTACTTTCCATTCACCAGATACTGGGAAAACTATTGATGAATGGAAATATCTAACACAAGAGAGTGATGATGTTCTTGAAATTGTCACCAAAGAAGGTGGGAAGGATGAAGATGCGAATGATTTAACAGAAGGGTTTGATGGGACAAAGATTCATAGAGAGGACAGTTGTTGCTATTTGTCAAGTGATGAAGACGTAGAACTTGTTTGGAAATATTTTCCAGAAAAGTTCAATTTTTTTGAAGTAAAGGGATCGGAGTCGAGAAAAAGAAGACATGGGAGTTTAGGATCCTCTTGCAACAGTGGCGCTTAGCTACACATTGACAACTTTTTTGATCATCTAAAGGCAACACCACCTGCCACACAAAGCTGGAGGGTGGGGGGAATTTGGCTGTGAGTTCAAGCAACGTTTCTAGTGCTTCAAAAAAAGAATAACAGAAAGAAGAGAAACTTTCCAACTTTCGCAAGTCAGTTAGGCGTAAACTTTTATTTGAGTGATATATCACTTTATGTTTTCCCATCAATTAGAGTGTTCTTCTTCTTGTTTTGTCTATGAACTGCAACTTGGTCATATGTGTATGTTAAACAATAGTGAATGTGCATGTTTAAGTGGATGTTGCCATGTTGATAAACGTTTTTTATCTTGTGGCAATTGGGAGGCTAAATTCTCCTTTGTGAAAAAAATCACTTTAACTTTTAAATAAATAAATATCACTTTTAAATCATAATCCGCAACTTTTAAGGACTAACTCCATATATATTTATCATTTTTTGAAACCAATGGCCGATATAGAACACAATGGACGATATCCACCAGAATCACTCTATCTCTCAGAAGGTTGGTTACCAGATGCACCTTGGCCAAGTGCTTCTAAAGATGTTGTAGCCTTATATTGAGGAGCGCAAAATCCTGCTGTTTATCACATGGAGTATAGAAACTACACCAATGCAGGACTGCAGCACTTCCAAATCTTTAAGGACCAATCTCTCATAGTTGAGAATGTTTCACCAGTATTTGTGAAAGCTCACTCAGAGAAAGGATTTGCAGGTTTTGTTATTCACTTTCTCATGTTTGCATGATACAAACATGGATATGATTTAAATTAAGATATCATAACTTACAAACCAGTGAAGGAGAAATTTTAAACAAAAAAATGATATTTAGTGATTTGATTTTGATTTTTTTATAATTAAACTCATATTCTAGGATCTTAAACATGTGTATGTTCGTTGAGACAAATTATCAAGCACGTAGTGTGATAGAAAAGGTGATGATAAAGTTGAATAGAAAGCTAAAGGAAAGAACTAACAGTCCATACTGGGAAAAGTGAAAGATGAGAGTAATTTCAAGTCAAAACTTTCGAGAAATCGCACACAATTCTAAACCTAAAATTGAATAAATTGAAAAGTCACAAATTGGAGAAAAATAACACACAATTTCAAGAGTTTGCTTGGAAACAACTAAATCGAAGCTTGAAAGGATGTAACAAAACGGTAGAACAATTCAAACCTGAGTTTTTAAATTGAAAAACCTGTTGCTAAAATCTGTGCTCGAACCACACTAATAAGAGTTTGGTGTTAGGAAACTTTGTTTTACAGGAATTCAGAGTCTATCTACACGGAGAAGCGTTAATCGGATTGAGAGTCGACAACGGAGATACTCTCCATGAAGTTTTACGGGAAAAAACGAACTAAATAATCCTTCAGAGGAGAGACGATGTGTCATTCGGTTATTTAGGACGAAAAGAAGTCGTCGGATCCAATCTAATCGAGCGGCTGAGGAGAGTTCTCATTTTTCAGCCGTAACCAGCTTCTCACCAGATCTATTCCCTATATATATATATATATATATATATATATATATATATATATATATATATATATATATATAGAGAGAGAGAGAGAGAGAGAGAGAGAGAGTACTCTTGCAGTCATGAATTCCTGACCGAAACCGCCGTTCGGACGGTGGCGTTTGGGGTGCTTCCCGGTGAAAGTTTTTGATAAAATTTTTATGACACGTTCTTCATGAAGTCTAGTTTACCTATAAAAAAAATATCCAGCTAAAAATTTAATCGGGAAGGCTGTCATATGATTTTTGAAAGATAACTAGACCGGAATATACATATAAAACGCAGTTAACTTCCAAAACTTATTTGACAACCTTCTCGATTGAACTTTTAGCTGAATTTTGTTGCGGATAAACTAGCTTGATGAAGAACAATCCATAAAGATTTCGTCAAAAAAGTCGACCGGGAAGACGTTGAAACGCCACCATCCGGACGGTGGTTCTGATCCGGAATTCCGGACCTGAATATTTCTCTCTCTCTATATATATATGTATATATATGTATATATATATATACATATATACATATTGAAATGGAGATACGCAATAATATTGAAATTGAAATTCCAAAATGATAAAAGATGAAAAAATAAATAATGGCCCTAATATAACTAATCACCTTTTGATTTTCAAAAATATCACTAATATAAATATGGACTACAAAGTGATCGACACAGCGACACTTAAAACCTAATCGGCCTCCCCTTTTTCGATTTCCAGCGCCCAAGGAACGTCTCTTCCGTTCCTAAATCGTTGCTGCACTCAAATACAAAGTCCCCATGGGAGCAGATCGTATAGACGGAGCAGGAGTTTTGACACTTCCTCCGCTACCTTCATCGACGTCGTCGTCATCGCCCTCCGCGGACAGAGGAATGGATCTCGCCGCCGTCCTCACAAGTTGCACTAGTCTTCGCCGCCACCGTCCTCACACAGTCGCACTAATATTCGTCGCCGCCGCCCTCGTGCTCACCCTACGAATTTCATCTTTTTCTTTTCCATCTGTTGGTAGCATTGATCATCTTCAAATCTAGCGCCAATGTGACGACGGTGATTGTGAGGGACATGGATCTTTTGTGAAAGCAGATGCTAGGGTTTGACGATGCGGCGGCTAGGGTTCAACGATGGAGCGGCGGCTAGGGGGAACTAGGTAGGGGCTAGATCGAAGTTGGGGAGGGGCAGATCGGGTGTTGGGTTTGATCGGTCGGAGCTGGAGTAGGGTGGGGTGGCTGAGGCGGGTCAAGAGGCGGGTCAAAATACGATGTGGACCGAGTTGGAAGGGGTAGGGGCAGTGGCGTGGGGAGGGGTAGGGGCAGTAGGGTGTTGGACACTGGATGAGGTGGTAGGTAAAGGTGATTGGCGGTGTCAGCAGACGGCAGTGGTAAGCTGGGGCGATATGGCGGCGGCCGGAGAGTGGCGATGGTGGACGGAGGTTGGCAGGTAGTCACTTTGACCGGTAGGCGGGCTGTCACTTTTCGCTGGTTAGCGGGCTGTCACTTTGGCCGGTGAGCGGGTTGTCACTTTGGCCGGTGAACGGACTGTCACTTTGGCCAATGAGTGTGCTGTCTCTTTGGCCGGTGAGCAGTCAATCACCGTCACCGCAGTCACTTTGGCCAGTGAGCTGTGGTCACTATGGACGGCGGAGTCACGATAGCCGGAGTCATGAGATAGTGACTGGCGGCGGTGGTGGCCAATATGACTAATGAATATACTGCAAAATTGAATAGGAGATCTAATTTCATAGAGGAAGTATAAACAATGGAAGATATGTGCCGTACAACCATTTTGGGGAAGAAAATAAGAAGATTCATTTGTTTTATATGGCGAAGTAGTCCCTTGGATCTCAACAACTTGAAGAGCTTTTTGAAGAACACAAAGTGATACTCACGACTCACGAGGAGGAGAGTTTATTTCTTTCTTTCTTGGCAAAAGGAGAGGAAGAGTTTTTAGGGCTTATACTGCCATAGATTTAATGAATCTCAAATCCTGGCCATAGATTATCATCTAGCGGCTCATACAGGAATAGTTCGGACATATAGTCCTCCGGAAGTCCGGACCTCATCAAAACTCTACATGTGTGTGTACATTGAGGAAATTACCAAAATACGAGGTTTTCCCGTCTGAGTTACCAAATTACGGGAGTCGGATTTGGCAAATCCGACTAGGGAGGCCTTCTAAATTACAGAGTACCTAGTCGGAACTGTGTAATCCGACTAGGGGTGTTTGAATTTTTTTAATGCTTAATAATGTGTAATCAAAAGAAATAAAAAAAAATAAAAAATAAAAAAAAAACAAAAAAAAAATTGTCGGATAGCCCACATCCGACTAGGGATGTTGTTTAAAAATTTTATATTTGAAAATACATATATTTTGTTTTATTTTAAGAAATTTTATAAATTAAATTTTATAAATTAAAATTTATAAATTAAATTGTTATTTTAAGAAATTTTATATTCGAGATAAATTTTGTTTTATGTAAACCATACCGTTAGAAGTATTTATTAGATAAAATTGATAATCAGATAAAATTTAATTAGATAAGTTCAATTAGATAAAATGAATCAGATAAAATTTTATCATATATAATTCAATCAAAATTCAATATTCTATCCAACCATATCTGCACAAAAATAAAGTGACCCAAAATTCAATACTTTATGTGCCGGATTATAAAACCTCCAATTTGACCCAATAAGGCACAATCATTCAAATTTTATGCAATCAGCCTATATCATGAACACGAGTTGTAAAATTGACCACGAGTTCCTTAATATAGAGATAACAATTTAATATTAACACTTGTGATTCACATTTTTTAGATCCGGATCAAAAAAGCCCCTATTCAACCTGGTAAGGATACAATCTTCTGAAATGCAATTAGCATGTATCATGAACACGAATTGTGAAATTGACCACGAGTTACTTAATATATAGATGAAATTTTAATATTCACATTTGTGATTCACATTTTTAGACCCGGATCATAAAAACCTCTATTCGACCCATTAGGGATACAATCATTTGAAATGTAATCAGCCTATATCATGAACACGAGTCGTAAAATTGACAATGATTTACTTAACATATAGATGGAATTTTAATATCAATACTTGTGATTCAAATTTGTTTAGACCCGGGTCATAAACCTCCAATTTGACCCAATAAGGACACAATCATTCGAATTTTATGCAATCAACCTATATCATGAACACGAGTTGTGAAATTGACCACGAGTTCATTAATATATAGATGACAATTTAATATTAACACTTGTGATTCACATTTTTTAGACCCGGATCATAAAAACCCCAATTCGACCCAGTAAGGATACAATCTTCTGAAATGCAATTAGCATATATTATGAACATGAATTGTGAAATTGACCATGAATTACTTAATATATAGATGAAATTTTAATATTCACACTTGTGATTCACATTTTTAGACCCGGATCATAAATACCCCTATTCGACCCAATAGAAATACAATCATTTGAAATGTAATCAGCCTATATGATGAACACGAGTTTTAAAATTGACAATGATTTACTTAACATGTTTAGATGAAATTAATGATATAAAATATAATCAGATAAAATTGTATCAAAATAAATATAATCATAAAACTAATTAGATAAAATATAATAAATAAAATATAATGAAATAAAATATAAGATCAAACTCCTGCAGTGGGAACTTTTAAATCCGACAGGAGTTAATTTTTTTCCCAAGTAAACTTTAAAAAAGATTTGGATAAAGTTTTAAATTTAAAAGAGTGATAAATT